ACTGGGCAGGCTGTGGAGCTCATGCTAGGAAAAGGGAAGCTTCTGTCCATTAAAAATCAGTACCGGGAACCACACAAAGCCTTTTGTTTTAAGGACGACCCTGGGATTAATGCCCCTGAAAAGTGGCTCTAAGGATCCGGTGAGAAAAAGTGGAAAAGCAATTTTTATATTTTGACTGACCGACTACCACGTGCTAGACCAGACTAGTGAGTCTGTGGAGTGGATATTTTGCAAAGGAGAAAACCGACAGAGATATGAACGACTCGCTCAGGGCAAACAGGCTGGCTAGGGCCCACGCTCCCTCTCGTTCCCCACCTGTCAAGACAGCCAGGGTGAGGCTCGGCCAATACCGGGAAAACGGGAGGGGCCCGGGTCCCCGGGCGCAGCTGCTCGTTCCCCGCAGAGCCGCGCGGTCTGCAGCTCAGGGTGCGGCCCGGCCCCACGTGCCCCGCCGCCCCGGCGGACCCGTGGGCAGGAGTCCAGGATCGGCCCCGCCCGCGCGAGGGTGCCAGGAAGTCGGTGCCCGACCTCAGAGCTGATCTGAAGGCACCTGGGGCACGCCTGGGGGCCCGGCCGGCTAACGACCTCGGGAAGGCCTCGCGCCGGACCGCCGGCACCCCTCCCCTCCCAGCTCGCCTCGTCAGCACCTTTCCCGCAGCCCGGCCCACCCCAGCCCCACAGTGGGTCACGAGGCAGCGCCTGAGCTTCGTCGCCGGGTGCGGCCCAGTCAGTCCCGGCCAGGCCAGCGCTCGGCGCCAACCCCCGCCCCCGCCGCCGCCCGGCGCGCGCCACGTCCCCGGCCCCGGCCCCGCCCCCGCGAGCCACGCGGGGAACCCCGGTGACGTCACCGTCCTCCAGCTCTCGCCTTCCCGCGCTCTCCAGAAAAGACGCGAAGGTGGTGACGTGTCCTGGGGTTTAATGCGGCTGCGCAAGAGACGTCCGCAACAGAACGTCCTGCGGCGCCGCCTGGTGGAAGAAAAGCACCAAACCCGCCGGAAAAGGCGGAGCGGGCGAGAGGAGAACGTGACTGACATCAGCTCGCGGAGCCGAGGGGGCGGCTGCCGCGTGACCAGCCCCCGCCCTCGGCGCCGGGAGCCTTTCTCTTCCTCTTTTTTTTTAGTACAGTGTGGAAGCTTGATTATTATGCCCCTTCTTTTAAGGTTAAAACCTCGCCTTTTCTCAAACTTATCAACATAAGTTATATTGCTGTAGAAAATTTGGGGGGGAAAAATAAAGGAAAAGATATGAAGATAAGGAATAGCAGTACCCCTTTTCATATTTACTCCCAGACTTTCTTTTACTTTAATCTTGCTGTATGTCAGTGTAAGTACAAAAGCTCTTAAGGAGGGACAAAAAGCAGCAAAGCCAAGTTAGAAAAACACGGTAGAGACTTCCCTGGTGGGGGCAGTGGTTAAGAATCCACCTGCCAACGCAGGGGACACGGGTTCGAGCCCTGATCCGGGAAGATCCCACATGCTGCGGAGCAACTAAGCCTGTGCGCCACAACTAGGCCTGCCAGCCACAACTACTGAGCCTGCCTTACCTACAGTCTGTGCTCCGCAACAAGAGAAGCTACTGCAGTGAGAAGCCCGTGCACGGCTACAGAGTAGCGCCTGCTCACCACAACTAGAAAAAACCTGCGCACAGCAATGGAGACCCCATGCAGCCAAAAGTAAATAAATAAGAAAACACGGTAGAAGAGAGAAGTGCAGAATAGGCGAGACGAAAGGGTAATAGTGTTTAATAAGCGTTTAACAGACTATCTTATTTACTCTGCACATCATCCAGACGAGGAAACTGGGGCTCAGAGAGTTAAATAATTTGCCCAAGGTTGCACTGTTAATAAGCGGGTAGCAGAGTGGGAGTTTGAACCCAGGGGTTAAAATCTGAACCTTAAGATGGTGGTCTAGGGAGAAGGGCGAAAAACGGCAGGGAACATATATGGTAGCAGACTGGCTTTGTACTTCTCTAACTGTCGATGGGAACTAGTTCCTAGGAACATGGCTACTGCCTCCATCAGTTGGATCAGGTTTGCAGGAGCGTGCCATAAAGCAGCCCAGACTAATATGCTGCCTTGAAACACCTGGCTATATGCAAGGGCCACTAGTTGCAGAGTGTCACCGACCTCCAGCACTGCCAATGAAAGGTGGGGGTCAGCACCTGCTCAGGTATTAGGTCCTGCAACTCAAAGTGAGGCTTGCAGTCCAGCAGTGTTTCTTCAGTCCATCAACTTTCTTTATTCAGCTTGATGTTACAAATGCGGAGTCTTGGACCCTACCCTGGAACTTCTGAATGAGAATATGCTTTCTAACTAGATCCCTGGGTGATTCCTATGCACACTAAAGAACTGTTGTTATCATGTCACCCTGCTCCCTTGGTGATACAGGTGGGATGGTAGAAAGATGTGAAGGGAGCTTGTGGCGCTGGATGGTGGGAGGGCTGGGATAGGGAGGAGGTTTTGGTTTTCTGTTTTGGCTGTGCCACGTGCCCTGTGGGGTCTCAGTTCCCCGACCAGGGATTGAACCCAAGGCACGGCAGTGAAAACCTGGAATCCTAACCACTAGGCCACCAGGGAACTCCCTGTAAGGAGGTCTAAAAAGAGGATCAAATACGGAGTATCAGCAAATCTCACAAGATGTGAAGGAAGAAAACTAGGAAATCAGAATCTGGGAGATTAAAAAACAAAAAAGAGTATGTTGAGGGGGGAAGCAGGTCCATCTTGGGAAAATGCACCAAAAAAATAGACACAAGGACTGTTCTCTGTGACTGACTTTTCTATGTTGTCTGTGACTTTTGCCTGAGAGGGTCCATTCACTCGAAGGGCTGGAGGAGGGCAGTCCCTGCCCATTCCCTCACCTTCAGCACATAGAGTGGGATTTCTCTGAATTCTAGTGGAGGGCAAATTTTGGCCTGTTTCTGACATGGGACACCAGGCAGTGACAGCAGAGTGCTTCTTGGATGACATATACAGGTTGTACTCTGTAAGCGGCCAGGCCTGGGGGCTGGTGTGGGTGCATGTGTATGCACATGTGGGCTGGAGGGAAGGGAAGTGATTGGCAGATCAGACATGACAAGAATCAGTGAAAGATGGGGTGGACATATGCGACTGGAAATTGCTAGGCCCAGAGAGTCACAGAGCTGATGACATCTGGTACCTTGAGAGAGCCAGGTGGCAGGCCTACAGAACTCCACTTGGGTGCTTCTTGGAGTCAGATTTTCTGGAGGCCTCTGAGTGGCCTATCGCTCCTCTAAATAGTAAGTAGCAAGCTGTTGAGATGATAGCAGTTCTGTTAGAGGCAGGTGTGAACCAAACTGTTCTGGGTGTAGGAATAGCAAGCTGTTCTCATGATGCCCATCATGTTAGGGCCCCCCGCCATGTTGCCTGGAGGGGGAGTTAAGATGCCATCCATCTCAGACCCATCAATACACTCAGTCTGAGGACGGTCCGTCTGTCTGTGCAGTAGACAGGAGGCTGTGTGGACCTGGAGGGTCTTGCGCTGCTCACTCCAGAACACAAATAGTGGCTGCAGCGTGGGAAAGCAGCAGGTGGGCAGCCCTCAGAGCTGGGAGATTCCAGCGCCTAATGGAGGTGTGCAGTGGATGGTACAGATGGGAGTATGTATGGGTGGGTGCAGGGTTTGAAGAACACTGGACTGTTGGGAGTAGCTAGGACCACTCTACTCTTCTGGCATGGGGCAAGTCTGAAATGAGGTCAATACTGATGGTGTCCCAAAGGTGTCTGGATGCTGGGAGTGGGTGTAGCGACCCTACTGGTACTCCTAGGACCATGCTTGACCTGGTAGAGAGGGTATCAATGTAGAAAAGGTCAATGTAACTCTGAACCCCGTTTCAGATTTTGATGAACTGTGTTGGTGGGCTGGGGTGGTCCTGGGTGGAAGATCTTGGCACTTGAGCGGGGGCCTCTTTTGGTGAATTATTTGCCCCAGGCATGTGTCTTATGGCTCCTGTGGTTCTTCTGGCCCCTGTGGTTGGCGTCCAGTACTGCTAGACCCAGCCAGGATTTGCCTGTCACCCACAGGTTTGGCTTGATCAAAAAGCTGTGACTCAAAGTACTGAGGTTGAAAGGCTTCTCAGAACAGGCCAACCACTGTGTTTCCTCGGGTGTTTTTGCTTTTAAAGCAAACACTCTGCCACACCTAGTTTTGATTTCTCCTCTTCTCTATACCTATCCAAGCCCCTCCTCTCCTTTATTTTATTTTGTCCGTGTGGCACGGTTTGTGGGATCTTAGTTCCCCGACCAGGGATCAAACCCATGCCCCCTGCAATGGAAGCGTGGAGTCCTAACCACTGGACCGCCAGGGAATCCCCACCTTCCTCTCCTTTAAAGCCCAGCACAGGTCTAATTCTCCATGGACCTCTGGACTCTCCTCAAGGATTTTCCCCATTGTCAGAAGCACTTGGGAGCTCTCCACACAAGCTAGCTCCTCAATCGTAGATAGACAACCCTTAATTTGCCTACCCATCCCCCTCTTGTAGGGGCACAGCTCCCCCTTTCACCAAAAATGATCACAGACTCCCCCACCCCCACCCCAGTTAGGCCCAGCAGAGCCTTTCTTTTGGGGATTTTGGACTTTGGATCAGGGAGAGTAGAGCAGTCAGTCCTGCTCTAGTGTGGAAGTGAAAGCCATACTTTCAGGTGCATTAGGAGCCAGAATTCCTACCAGAAGGAGATGCTCTGTGCTGAGAGTGAAGCCTCAGGAGAGGTGGAGATGGGTCAGATGGACCCTGGCTGCAGGGGTTCTGAGGCCTAGCCACACCCCAGCTCCACCCCAGGATGGTTGTCCAGCCCTATTTTAATGTCCATGAACCAGTCATTCGTTTGCATTTTGCCTGAGCTGGTTAGAGTTGGGTTTTTGTTACGTGCAATCAAAACAAAAAGCCTACCTAAGGACTTTTCTTGTCTTCCCAAGGACAGTGAATTATAAGGAATTTATATTATAAGGTAACATGACACAGTGGAAAGAACATGCACTTTGGAATAAAATGAAACATTTTTAATGCTGTTTCCAGCAAGATACTTAATCTCAAAGAGACTGTTTAAATTTATAAAAGAAGGGGTGATGGCTAAACTCAAAGAATGATGAGGACTAAATGAGAAAAATGATCAAATGAGAATCTAAATGAAAATGCCTGGGATATAGTAGGCAAACAGGAAATGTTCATTCCCTTCTTTTCTCCTTAAAGGCAGGCTTTCATTCTGTGTCTTTCAGTGTATCTCCATTCTGTGATCAATGAATTAAAAAAATAGGAATTGAATTTTACCACCTGTTAAACTTTTTGGAGAGTAAAGAAGGAAAGAAATATCAAGAAAGCAAGCAATTACAAGCATTAGTTTGAAATGTCAAATACTGCCTTGACACCTGGATCTCTTTTTCCTGTTTTACTATCACCTGAATCTCCCAAAAGGTTTATAATTTTATAATTAGGCCAACATGAGATATAATTTGGAAAAACTAGTGACACTGTGCTTTGAGAAGAGAATAAAAGGGCATGACTGGAATTCTGCCAGGATGATCATCAACATTCTGCCCTAACCAGGGTACTATTAACTTTCCAACACTGTTGGTGTTAAGGCAAGTGCTGCTAACTTCTTAGAGAATTAGGAAAAGGTTGAAACAAACTCTAAAGGTGAGTCCTTCGAGAAGGTATGTGGGCTGTTTTTCTTTTTGTTCCTTCAAAAACTAGCCAGGAATACCACCCAATTTATAATGAAGACTATACACAGCAGCACCAAAAGGGCTATATGTACAAGAAGAGTTTTTCTTCAACAGAATCCACTTGAATGTGTTGAGAAACCGTATCTTAGCTAAGAGTAGTTCACTAAGGAACAGAGCCATCTAAGTGCCTAACTAGTATTTAAAGTTGTCAAAGGGTGGGGATGTGCAAATTTAGCAGCGAAAGACTCTTTTGTTTTGCCTCAAGGGAAAGTGATGGTGGTCAGAGGGGCCAGTTCCAAGGGCTGGTCCAGGGGGGGCCGCTGTTCTTGGTACTCCGCCACATGCCCATTGCGGTGGTGACCATACTCAAACTTGATCCGCAGCTCGCCAATCTTGGATTGGGGAAGAATATCTGGAATCCACTCAATGATGAAAGGTGTTGGCTCCTTTTGATCTGGGGAAGTGTTGCCTGAAGAAAAAAAAAAGAAGAAAAGAAAAAAGACTGATTAGTACAATTCCAAAATAAATTTGAGTCTGGACAGGACTTCCCTGGTGGCACAATGGTTAAGAATCTGCCTGCCAATGCAGGGGACATGGGTTCGAGCCCTGGTCCGGGAAGGTCCCACATGCCGTGGAGCAACTAAGCCCGTGTGCCACAACTACTTAAGCCCTTGTGCCACAAATACTGAAGCCCGTGTGCCTAGAGCCCGTGTTCCGCCACAAGAGAAGCCACCACAACGAGAAGCCCGCGCACTGCAATGAAGAGTAGCCCCCGCTCGCCACAACTACAGAAAGCCCGCGCGTAGCAACAAAGACCCAATGCAGCCAAAAATAAATAAATAAAATTTTTAAAAAATTGAGTCTGGACAGATCTTACCCTGTTCACAAATTTTAAAAGGAAATGAAAAAGAAGTTAAAAAAAAAAAACTATATGAGGAAAAAAAAGGCGCGGGGGGCCAACAAGAAGAATCAAGGGAAGGGAAAAGTGACCACTGCTGTACCTATCCAAAACAAAGTTTCAGGGAACTGTCTGGCATCCTCAAATAAAATAAGACCCAGCTTTTATGAAAATAGGGCCAAAAGAATCACAAGGAGAGCCCAGCCAGACTAAGAGGAAAAGACAGCTGGATGAGGTTAAAAAGGGAGACTATCAAGAAAAGGTCAAGGTTTCAAGGAAACTAGAAAGAAACAGACTTAAAATCTACATGGTTCTAAAACATATTACAAATCCATAGTAACAAAAGAGTGTGGGGCTTCCCTGGTGGCGCAGTGGTTGAGAGTCCGCCTGCCGATGCAGGGGATGCGGGTTCGTGCCCCGATCTGGGAAGATCCCACATGCTGCGGAGCGGCTAGGCCCGTGAGCCATGGCCGCTTAGTCTGCGCGTCCGGAGCCTGTGCTCCGCAGCGGGAGAGGCCACAACAGTGAGAGGCCCGCGTACCATTAAAAAAAAAAAAAAAAAAAAGTATGGTACTGGCATATGTCTACACAGATTAACAGAACAAAACAGAAAGATCCAAAATGGATACAAAAAGAACAGGAATTTAAAATAAGGTAAAAATGGCATTTTCAATTAGTACAAGAAATACAAGTGTTTTTGTTTGTTTGTTTTGCGGTACGCGGGACTCTCACTGCCGTGGCCTCTCTCGCCGCGGAGCACAGGCTCCGGACCCGCAAGCTCAGCAGCCATGGCTCAACGGGCCCAGCCGCTCCGCGGCATGTGGGATCCTCCCGGATCGGGGCATGAACCTGCGTCCCCTGCATCGGCAGGCGGACCCTCAACCACTGCGCCACCAGGGAAACCCACGAGTGTTTCTTATAACAAATGGTGTGCATCAACTACATAATTATCTGGAAGAAAATAAAAGGCAGAATCTTACCTCATAACTTACATCAAGATAAAGTCCAGAAGATCAAAGATTTAAACGTGAAAAACTCAGGTTAAAGAATGCTTTTGAAAAAATGTAAAATACTAGCAGAATTAAAAATAAGCATATGGTATCACCTTCAAAACTATGGAGACAATTAAGCATAGAAAACATAGTCCATTTAGCAAAAAACAGAAGAACAAAACAAGGAGACAGAAGACCAACTCTATCAATTATAATAAAGGGGAAAAACTATTGAAATTGGAGAAAAATCAAAACCAACAATATAATATTGATAAGAGATTCAATAAGAACAAAGTGTCACAAAAAAGTTAAAAGGATGGCAAACATCAGAAAAATGTAAAACAAAAGAAAGCTGGTGTCACTGTTGTAATATTGAACAAAGATGAATTTAGGGCAAATGTTATTTTTACATTGATAAAGTATTGCTATATACTGAATCTACATTCTCCCAAAATTTCTCCCAAATTTTGTATCCTCCCAAGATTCATAAATTGAAAACCTAATCCCTGATGTGATAGTACTTGGAGGTGGGGGCTTTGAGAGGTGATTAGGTCATGAGGGCAGATGAATGAGATGAGTGCCCTTATTTTAGACCCCAGAGACATCCTTGCCCTTTCTGTAATGTGAGGACACAAAGTGAAGACTGCTGATGGCCGTCTTTGAGCCGGGAAGCAGGCCCTCACCAGACATCGAATCTGTTGGTGCCTTTATCTTGGATTTCCCACCCCGCAGAACTGTGAGAAATAAATTTCTGTTGTTTGTAAGCCACCCAGTTTATGGTATTCTGTTATAGCAGCCCAAATGGACTAGACAATATATTTACATTGACATCTGTCAATAACTCTGATGTACCAAAAACATTGCATTACAATACTCAAAGTCTTTTTGCAATATCAGAAGACATTTAGAGAAACGTAACTGTAGTAGGAAATTGTCTCACAACTCTGCTAAGTTGTATAAGTCTTAAAGCTATATAAGACTTTACATTGGATAAATAATAACATCTTTGCTAGCACAAATTAATATCATACATTAGGTTAGTGAGAAAATATTTTTAAATCCCTAAAATAAATAGAAATTGAAAGGCACATCTTCTCAAAATAATAAAAGTAGAAATTTATAGCTAAGAATATAAAAATCAAACCAATTCAACCAACTGGAAGTTTTAAATACAAAGTGTTGGGGACACAGAGAAACTAAACTACGATTAGAGACTATTTAGATATTAATAATAAGAAGAACCTTAAATGTTCTTATTATCAAATATGAATTTTAAAAATTAACTGATAATTTCAAAAGGTATAAAAATTTAAAAATTCCAAAAAAGTGTTAGAAAAAAATTTTAAAGAGTTGGGAGAAATTTTTACAGACAAAAGCATAAAATAGTTCAAAACAGACATTCAGATAAATACAAGAGCCAGTTCCTTGAAAAAGACAAAAAATTCTTGGAGTATATAACTATAGACCTAGGTTTTAAAAGTTATGTGATTATCCTCTATACCAAAAATTATAAAAATGTACACAATTTAAATTTTGGATGAAAACAGGAGAATTTTTTGGGAAAAAAACAATTAAAATTGACTAAAGAAGAGGTAGAGACTGTGAGTACAAATATAAATCAGAAGAAATTAAACAAGTTTTTAGAGAACTGCCTGCAAGTAAAGTTTAGGTCCAAGAGAATAAATTCTTACAAACATTCAAGGAACAGATATTTCCTAAGCTATTTTTTTAAATTAATTTTTATTGGAGTATAGTTGATTTACAATGTTGTGTTAGTTTCTGCTGTACAGCAAAGTGAATCAGTTATACATATACACATATCCACTCTTTTTTAGGTTCTTTTCCCATATAGGTCATTACAGAGAATTGAGTAGAGTTCCCTGTGCTATACAGTAGGTTCTTATTCGTTATCTATTTTATATATAGTAGTGTGTATATGTCAATCCCCAAATCCCAATTTACCCTTCCCCCCAAGATATTTAATTTGGTCCAAAGCTTTCTAAAATCATTTTCTATATAACTATTACAAAACCCCAAAAAAGATAGCCTCCAAAAAAGAAACTGTAGGCAGTTAATACTTATGAATCAATAATAAAAAATCCTAAATAAAGTATTAGCAAATAGACTCTACATAATACATATCAAAATAAAAAAGACCACACAGGATTTATTCCAGAAAGGCAAGATTACTTCAATATTAGACATTTATTCATAAAACTCACATTGTAAATCAATTATACTTAAATAAAATAAATAAATTTCATTGCACTTGGGTCAAAACAGTTCATCTTTTGAGGTTTCTCAAAAGATGGTAAAAAGGTATTTCAAGGGACTTCCCCAGTGGTCCAGTGGTTAAGACTCCCCCTTCCAATGCAGGGATACAGGTTTGATCCCTGGTCGGGGAACTAAGTTCCCACGTGCTGCGGGGTGTGGCCAAAAATTAAAAAAAAAAAAAGGTATTTCAAAAAATTAAATTCTAGGGAGTTCCCTGGTGGTCTAGTGGTTAGGATTCGGTGCTTTCACTGCTGTGGCCCAGGTCTGATCTCTGGTTGGGGAACTCCCGCAAGCCATGTGGTGAGGCCAAAAAATAATACATAAATAAATAAAAATAATTTAAAAAACAACTACATTAAAAAAAATCAATTCTATTTCCTAATAAAAATACTTAATAAACCAAGAATATGATATGCTGTTATAATAAAAAATTTTATCTGAAATCAATAACCAATAGTTCATTATTTAATAGTGAAACACAGAGCAGCTTTTCCCAGAAAAATTCTATGAAATGCTAATGGTATTCCCCTGAAAAGTGTTGACCGGTCAAATAAACTGGGGAAAACTTAAGTTAAATGAAGTTCAACGGTATTTTAATTTCAGGATCTTTTTAATATGCAAATTTATAGGATGAGTTACTAAGAGGGATACATTATATTCTAAGACACTTCTCCCTACTGCCTCCCTACTCCAGTTGTAACATTATCTGCAATCTGAGTATATCATACAACCAGGGAAGTTCTCATGTGGCAAAGTTTCTTTTCCCAGCAAAAAAGTTATTACAAAATTGACTGAACAAGGTTCAGGGAGTCTTAGAATCAAGGGTCTTAGAATCAAAGAAATACAGTATGTAGCATTTCTCAAACTTATCAGATCATGGAACACTTTTTTCACAGCATACTTATCACTATCTCTTCTTCAAGACAGAGTTGGAAAATGCTATGCTGGAGGAGTTTTTACTATAGTAAAAATGATAGTTTTACTATAGTAAAATGAAAATCTCAACTGCTAGCTTTACTATTATTCATTGTTGCTCTTGAAGTTGTAGCTAATTTAACAAGAAAAAAACAATGAGATATAAACATTTGATAGGAAACAAAATTATCATTATTTTTCAAGTGATATAATTGATTTCCCAGAAACAACAGGTAAACAACTATCATCGCTACTAGGAACTCATTAAGGAGGGCAATTTGATAGTAATTATATCAAAATCAAGAGCTTTCCATACACTGGCAGTAACAAGTTAAACACATGATAAATATCTTATTCCCAAGAGCAGCCAAAAATATATTTCACAAGAATTTGACAAAATAATTATAAATTCTAAATTTCTTGGTGACACAGTTCACTGCCCTGACAGTGCTTATAGCCTAGTCAGTGGAAAGACAGGTGAGTGTTGGATGGCTAGGAGTGAAGGCTCTGGAGTCCAAAACTGCCTGGAGTTGAGGACCAGCTCTACCACTTTACTAGCTGTGTGACTCTGGACAGGTTACTGCACCTATCTTCACCTCAGTTTATTCATCTGTAAATGGGGATCACAGAATCTACCTCTGAGTGGGCTGATGAGCATTAAATGGATTAATCTAGGTAAAGAACTTAAAATAACAGCTGGCACAGAGTAGGTGCTCATTAAGTGCTACTTGTTATAGTTGTCATTATTATTATTAAATTATTATACCCAAGTTAAAAATAGACAAAGAAAAAGCAATTCATCAAATACAAATGACTAATATGAAAATTTACTCTCATTAACATTTGAGGGTAATGCAAATTAAAAGAATGATAGAACATTTTTTGGCTATCAAATCAATAAAGATTAAAAAAAGACACTCTTGGGGACTTCCCTGGTGATGCAGTGGTTAAGAATCCGCCTGCCAATGCAAGGGACATGGGTTCGATCCCTGGTCCGGGAAGATCCCACATGCCACGGAGCAACTAAGCCCGTGCACCACAACTACTGAGCCCACATGCCACAACTACTGAAGCCCGCGCACCTAGAGCCCATGCTCCACAACAAGAGAAGTCACCGCAATGATAAGCCCATGCACCGCAATGAAGGGTAGCCCCCTGCAATGAAGAATAGCCCCCTGCTTGCCACAACTAGAGAAAGCACATGGGCAGCAATGAAGACCCAACACAGCCAAAAGTAAAAAATAAAAAAATAAAAAAGAGAAACTCTTTCATGCATGGCTAGCAGGAGTAAACTGCAGAAATATTACAATCTTTCTGGAGGGCAGTGTGACAAAAACAGTCAAAAGTCCTAAAAATGTACATAATCTTTGACCCTCCAGTTTAACTTTTAAGAATTTACCCGAAAGAATATCCTAAATAAATTAGGAAATAATTAAGGTTATAAAAGGTTTGTCTAAAAGGAAGTTAATTATAAAAGGAAGCATTGTTCATAATAGCAAAAAGTTTGAAACAACTTAAATTCAGGATTGACTAGAGTGAGATAACTTAATGAATGAACTTTATGAAGCTGTTTAAAAATGTTGTATTCACAATAGCCAAAAGGTTGAAGCAATCCAAGTATCCAAACAGATGAATGGATACACAAAATGTAGTAGATACATATAATGAAATATTGTTCAGCCTTAGAAAGGAAAGAAAATTTGTCACATGCTACAACGTGGATGAACCTTGAAGAGATTATGCTAAGTGAAATAAGCCAGTCACAAAAGGACGAAGATTGTATGATTCTAATTTGAGTCGTCAAATTCATACAGACAGAAAGTAGAATGGCAACCAGGTCTGGGGGGAGGCAGGAATGCAGAGTTAGTATTTGATGGGTAGTTTCAGTTGAGAAAGATGAAAAAGTTCTGGAGATGGATGGTGGTGATGGTTGCACAACAATGCAAAAGTACTTAATGCCAGAAAACCTTATGCTTAAAATGTTAAGTTTTATATTACATGTTTTATAATAATAAAAAAAGTTTAAAAAATAATGTTGAAGACAGACATGGAAAGCTGTTCATGATATATTTTTAAGTGAAAAAAGCTGCTAAGATATGATCCCATGTTTTAGAAACTCTTTTTCTTTTCTTTTCTTTTTTAAATTTATTTATTTGTTTGTTTTTAGTTTTGGCTGCGTTGGGTCTTTGTTGCTGTGCATAGGCTTTCTCTAGTTGAGCGGTGAGTGGGGGCTACTCTTCGTTGAGGTGCGCAGGCTTCTCATTGCAGTGGCTTCTCTTGTTGCAGAGCACAGGCTCTAGGCACGCAGGCTTCAGCAGCTGTGGCACGCGGGCTCAGCAGTTGTGGCTTGCGGGCTCTAGAGCGCAGGCTCAGTAGTTGTGGTGCACAGGCTCAGTTGCTCTGCAGCATGTGGGATCTTCCCGGGCCAGGGCTCAATCCCGTGTCCCTTGCATTGGCAGGCAGATTCTTAACCACTGTGCCACCAGGAAAGCCCCTAGAAACCCTTTTCATGCACAGAAAAAAAAGTCTGAAAGGGTATACACCAAAATCTTAATGATGATGTCATCTATAGTGGGTGGGATTACAGGTGGTTTTTATTTTTCTCCTCCTTTATGCTCTATAATGAAATCTGTGATTTCTGTATAATGAACAGGTATTACTTCTCTAATTTTATTTTTTTAAAAATAAATTTATTTATTTTTGGCTGTGTTGGGTCTTCGTTGCTGTGCACGGGCTTTCTCTAGTTGCGGCGAGCGGGGGCTACTCTTCATTGCTGCGCGTGGGCTTCCTCTAGTTGCCGCGAGCTGGGGCTACTCTTCGTTGCGGTGCATGGGCTTCTCATAGCGGTGGCTTCTCTTGTTGCGGAGCACGGGCTCTAGGTGTGCAGGCTTCAGTAGTTGTGGCACATGGCCTCAATAGTTGTGGTTTGCGGGTTCTAGAGCTCAGGCTCAGTAGTTGTGGCGCATGGGCTTAGCTGCTCTGTGGCATGTGGCATCTTCCAGGCCAGGGCTTGAACCCATGTCCCTTGCATTGGCAGGCAGATTCTTAACCACTGTGCCACCAGGGAAGCCCTCTAATTTTATTTTTAAAGTACTGGCTCAGATGAAACAAAACAACTTATCCCATGACTGCCTTTACAAAATGTGTGAATGTGTCTTCTTTGTTCAAGGTCAAGCCCCAAAGTTGAGGACAGCGTAATACACACAGGTGACCCTCAAAGGAAGGTGTGCTATTGAAACCACCAATTTACTTACCAACTTTGAGAAAAGTTTTTAGTTCCAAGGGTCGCAGCACTGGTTGCTTTTCTATACGACCATAGGTTTCTGCTATGCTCTCAACTTCTACTTTAGGGCATTTAAACAGCTCGTAAGTCCCGTCCCGGTTCTGGATAAAACTCCGGGTGATTTCCAAAGGCATCTGCATATGGAGACAATACCAAGAAAGGTGAGAAAGGAAAAACTTTCAAAGTAGACAAACATTGGATGACAACAGATTTTATTCATTCTTTTCTAAGTACACTCAAATTAACTAAAATTTCCCCTTGTATTTTCAAGTAAATTTTGTCAACAGTTCTGCCTTTCCTTTTCTCTCTCTAACTTTCATTTGAACCCTTACCAAACCATACTGAACTGAACGCCTAATACCTTCATGGCTACCTGACTGCTACTGGCACAGACCTGCTCTAAAATCAGTTTTATTCCCTCCCCTACTGCTCTGCTGGCAGCAATCTTCTCCTAAAAACCCTACCAACAGCACCTATAGCTGACCTCACATCCTGTGTGCTTCCACCATCCTTGAGACTAAGCCAGAGCTTGAACTGAATTTTGCCTTTGCCACTAAACAGCAGGCTGAGCTTCTCATAGCCTGTTTCTCACCTGCAAAATACTGTTAATACCAGTGCATGGTTGTGAGATTGAATGGGGTGATACAGGTAAGTAACGTGCAACACAGAAGCTCCACGACTTGACTTTGCTCTGGGGCTGCTGCAGTGCCTCCCTGAACCCCGCCCTTTTCAGGCTAGAAGCCGTTTCTGCGACATCCTCCATTTAAAGAAGTTCCTCAAGTGTGAACATAGGCCTTTCCTAAAGTTCCCATGTAAGTTCTATAGTTACCAAACAATTTATTTTTCTGAACGTAACAGTGCCTTGCAGTTCAGCTAATCTTAATGTATTAAATCACATGATGCTGAGTTTTCCACACTATTCCGTTATCATAGGAAGGGAAAATCCTCACATTTTTAGGATCTGCTTGAAAAAAATGTCTAATATTGCCCCTGTGAGAAAGGACACAAACTACTTAAGAATCATTTCTCTAGTGAGAGCTAAACTGCAGTTTGGAGAGGAACACTGAATTGTGCTGGACCCACGGACTTCACAAATAGTATATCATCTCAAATTATATATATACTTTCTAGCTGCTTGCCAGTTAACCTAGGGCTCACCATGGCTAGTAGGGGATCATTATTTAATTTACAAGAAAGAGCATCCCTGTTTTCTGATCCCAAAGGCAAAGAAAAAAGGATACTCCAATTTAAGATACATCCTCAAGCTACAGGGAATACCTATTAAAATCAGAGTTGGAACAATAAAGCCATGAATATTTCTGAATAATCTCTTAGTATGAAAAAAAGGAGTACTCTTTGGTGTCCATGACTCAAGGAGCTGGTGCAAACATACTTCCCGCACTTGCTTCCCTCTCTTCCCCTCTCTGCCCTCCCACTATTGTAGAAATAAACTCTTACCTCTGGGGTATCTAAGATTTGTTTAACTTGCAGGATATTCGTGATATGCCAGGTATACTTGGAAAAGGTTCCCAGTGGCAAAGCATCTTTGCGAACAAAAGCTTCAAGGTAAAAAGGGGGTAAAATTAGACTATCGAAAAATAACATGCTCTTTCACTGAATTTGTTATCCAGTTTCTGGAGAGTTCAGTGAAGTGATATTCCTGCCTTATAGAATCTCAGTCCTCTAAAAAAGGTATTTTATACACACACACACACACACACACACACACACACACACACACACGTTTTGGGTTGGCCAAAATGTTTGTTCGTTTTTTTCCATAAGATGGCTCTAGTATTGCTTAGTGGTCTTTTTTTTGTGGTACACGGGCCTCTCACTGCTGCAGCCTCTCCTTTTGCGGAGCACAGGCTCCAGACGCGCAGGCTCAGCAGCCATGGCCCACGGGCCCAGCCGCTTTGCGGCACGTGGGATCCTCCCGGACTGGGGCATGAACCCGCGTCCCCTGCATTGGCAGGCGGACTCTCAACCACTGCGCCACCAGGGAAGCCCTGCTTAGTGGTCTTTAACTTCATTTGAAACAATCTTGTTAGATTGTATTGTGACAACTGTCATATCAGTTGCATTTAAAAAAAACTTATCAAAATTGGTGAATTTCTGTGTATCCATTTTAATATTGAAGATGGAAGAAAAAAAGCAACATTTTCTTTATATTATGTTTTATTATTTCAAGAAAGGTAAACATGCAACTGAAACACAAAAAAAGATTTGTGCAGTGTATGGAGAAGGTGCTGTGACTGATCGAACATGTCAAAAGTGGTTTGCGAAGTTTTGTGCTGGAGATCTCTTGCTGGACGATGCTCCACAGTTGGGTAGACCAGTTGAAGTTGATAGCGATCAAATTGAGACATTAATTGAGAACAATCAACATTATACCACGCGGGAGATAGTCGACATACTCAAAATATCTAAATTAAGCGTTGAAAATCATTTGCAGCAGCTTGGTTATGTTAATTGCTTTGATGTTTGGGTTCCACATAAGTTAAGTGAAAAAAACCTTCTTGACTGTATTTCCTCATGCAATTCTCTACTGAAACGTAATGAAAATGTTCTGTTTTTAAAACAAATTGTGATGGGTGATGAGAAGTGGGTAGTGTACAATAATGTGGAACGGAAGAGATCATGGGGCAAGTGAAATGAACCACCACCAACGACACCAAAGGCCAGTCTTCATCCAAAGAAGGTGACGTTGTGTATGTGAGGGAATTGGAAGGGAGTCCTCTATTATGAACTCCTTCTGGAAAACCAGACAATTAATTCCAACAAGTACTGCTCCCAATTAGACCAACTGAAAGCAGCACTCAGTGAAAAGTGTCTGAAATTAGTCAACAGAAAACGCTTCATCTTCCATCAGGATAACGCAAGACCGCATGTTTCTTTGATGACCAGGCAAAAACTGTTAGAGCTTGGCTGGGAAGTTTTGACTCATCTGCCGTATTCACCAGACGTTGCACCTTCGGGTTTCCATTTATTTCGGTCTTTACAGAATTCTCTTAATGGAAAAAATTTCAATTCCCTGGAAGACTGTAAAAGACACCTAGAACAGTTCTTTGCTCAAAAAGGTAAAAATTTTGGGAAGATGTGGGATTATGAAGTTGCCTGAAAAATGGCAGAAGGTAGTGGAACAAAAGGGTGAATATATTGTTCAATAAAGTTCTTGGTGAAAATGAAAAATGTGTCTTTTATTTTTATTTTAAAAACGAAGGAACTTTTTGGCCAACCCAATATATACATTTTTTGGCCGTGCTGTGCAGCTTGAGGGATCTTAGTTACCCCACCAGGGATCGAACCTAGCCCCGGCAGTGAAAGTGCTGAGTCCTAACCACTGGACCGCCAGGGAATTCCCTAAAAAAGGAATTCTAGAAGCAAATCTATAATAGAGTTTTGGCAGAAATGTGATGAATCAAATGATAAGGATTTCTGCTATAAAAAGTCTCTGATGCTTCTTTTGAGATACTACTGATTTTTGACATCTTGGCAACTTGTTTGTTTGGTAAGTCTACACACAGAGGACTCTATTATAAAACAGCCTCTTACAACTTTAGATAAGTCAGAGGTCAAATCATAGTCCTTAAAATAACTACATAGAGTTTAAGCCTGCTCACGTGGTTGCCAATCTATTGCCCTGCCTCCCAGATTATAAAGGGGTTCCACTGAAGGACCCAAAAAGATGTAAGCAATGGGTTAAAATTAATGTATTAGGCCTAAAATGGTTTGTTTTTGTTTTTGTTTTGGCTGCACTACTCAGCATGCGGGATCTTAGTTCCCCGACCAGGGATCGAACCCATGCCCCTTCAGTGGAAGTGTGGAGTCCTAACCACTGGACTGCTAGGAAATTCCAGGCCTAAAGTTTAAACTGGAAGCATCAACACTGTCTCAAGGGACTTCCCTGGTGGCACAGTGGTTAAGAATCCACCTGCCAATGCAGGGGACACGGGTTCGAACCCTAGTCCAGGAAGATCTCACATGCTGCGGAGCAACCAAGCCCGTGCACCACAACTACTGAACCTGTGCTCTAGACCTTGTGAGCCACAACTATTGAGCCCATGTGTCACAATTAATGAAGCCCACGCGCCTAGGGCCCATGCTCGGCAACAAGAGAAGCCACCAGCCCCTGCTCGCCGCAACTAGAGAAAGCCCGTGTGCAGCAACGAAGACCCAACATAGTCAAAAAAAAAAAAAAGATAAATTTATTTAAAAAACAAATTCTGTCTCAAAAGTCAGATAGATAAGATAAGGTGTAAAGACAGAGATTTTTATGGCCCTAAACAGAGAGATTCACAGCTTGTACTATTAAAAGACAGAATTAAACATCAGTCCTGGGAATTCCCTGGAGGTTCCGTGGTTAGGTCTCTGAGCTTCCACTGCAGGGGCACAGGTTCGATCCCTGGTCAAAAACTAAGATCCCGCATGCTGAATGGCTCAGCCAAAAAACAAACAAACAGAAACACTTCAGTCCCTATTACATCATCAAATAACAATTTACTGAAGAAATAGCTCTGATTTCTAGCTGTAGATACTCTTGGGCTATTTGTCCCTGAGCAATCTTTTCCTTCTCCTTTTCTCTCCCTTATTTCCTTATACTACCAAATAAGTATCTTGAGATCTCTAGTAGAAAGATATTATATAAAACCAAGAAATAAGTATCAGAATACTGTAATTATAAAATGTTCCAAGCCTGAGAATCACTCTAAAAATAAAATCTCCCTTCATCATAAATGGGGAATCATGAAAAACAAGTTTTAGTTTTTGACACATACTGTAATATGCTTCCAAGAAGCCAGCCCAAACAACAATTGGAGACTGCAATGCTTTTGTTGAAATTGGTTCATATCTAGAAAATATCCAACTTCTTGGTGGGCACCTTCATTGTGTTTCATCGGTGATCCTTTTACCAACATTTTGCTTCCGGAATCTTTCCATCAACTCTTACTAGCATAAGCATGGGGCCTTTGAAGAGTGTGATCATTATTCTAAGAGCTGATGGGCTAAGGCTTCATGCTCTGAGCATGTAACTAGAAGTCCTAATCATGAAAATTCCACACAATTTTTCCAAACATTATTCTCTAAGGTCAAGACATCTATTGCTATTCCGGAGGAAACATCCCATACCTGTGGTAGAGTTAGGAAGCCGTTTTTTTGCACTTCCTATGGATATTCTCTGTTGCAGGGCATCGAAAAAGGACTGAGGAATGTGGAACACCAGTGGCTCTGGTTTGCCTATAGGAAATAAGAAGAAGCTCATTTAAAGAAACTCAGTGGGCTTTCTGGTGTGTAGGGGAAGGTGGAAGAAATGGAATTGATGGGTAGTAATAACTAAAGATACCACTGAGATTTCTTTTTTTTTTTTTTTTTTCTTTTTTTTTTTTGCGGTACGCGGGCCTCTCACTGTTGTGGCCTCTCCCGTTGCGCAGTACAGGCTCCAGACGCGCAGGCTCAGCGGCCATGTCTCACGGGCCCAGCCGCTCCGCGGCACGTGGGATCCTCCCGGACCGCGGCACGAACCCATGTCCCCTGCATCGGCAGGCGGACTTTCAACCACTGCGCCACCAGGGAAGCCCTGAGATTTCTTTATACAGAGGCAAAAAGAAGGCTTTGATTGACCTTTATGAGTCAAGCACTGTCGCCTGCCCTGCTCTTGATCCCTTGCAGTTATAACAAATACAGCACACTCTTGTCATCTACCAAAGATAACTTTTCAAATCCCTAATTTTGTAAACACTGCCACAGCACAGACTTCTCCCTTTAAAGAGGACATGAAATGAGATGAGAACATTGAGGCTGAGATGAGAAGGTAAACTTGATTCACTGCTGCTCACTATCCCAGGCACCTGCTGTTTGCATTCATTTTCTCAGATGGTCAGGACTGCCAATGCCAGAGACTGCAAAGTTAGGACACTTTATCCAATAAGCATCAGTCTCCTCTCTGATGTGAAGACAGGCAAACTGTTTGAAAATACGTAACAAACCTCTTTTAAAAAGTAGCAAGAAAAAAAAAAGTTGCAAGACACTAGGTCAACAGAAAGAGTGTTCAGGGGAGAGGGTGAAAGAGTTCAGAGTTTTCCTTAAAAACTCTGCCCAAGAAGCAAGCTCCAACAGAGGGAAAACATCCAGAACCACATGGCTTAACATGTAACTTCCACCTGCGTGTAGAAGGTGTAGTTCTTAAAGACAGTTCACCTGCCTTTCTGAAATAAAGATCAAGCCAAGAAAAATGAAAATGAAAGGCTTTCTAGAATTCCATATTAAGGTTTTACATTCTATCAATTGCTTTTACCTACTTAATTGAATGCAGAATGCCAATGACAAAACTGTCACTGCTTTTGAGCCACTAAAATTATTTTTTAATTTTTATTTATTTATTTTTGACTGCATCGGGTCTTAGTTGCGGCACGCGGGATCTTTCGTTGCGGCGCGCGGTCTCTTCATTGCAGTGTGCAGGCTTCTCTCCAGTGGTGGCGTGCGGGTTTTCTCTCTCTAGTTGTGGTGCATGGGTTCCAGAGCGTGTGGGATCTGTAGTTGTGGCGCCCGGGATCCAGAGCGTGTGGACTCTCTAGTTGAGGGGCTCGGGCCTTAGTTGCCTCACGGCATGTGGGTTCTTAGTTCCCCGACCAGGGATCGAACTAGCATCCCCTGCATTGGAAGGCAGATTCTTTACCACTGGACTACCAGGGAAGTCCCAAGCCACTAAAATATTAATATCGGGGCAGTTTAGAGAAGTCACTACAGAAAGGTTTTTAAAATCTTTCATCTTGAAATTAGATTATGGGCTATCTGCAGAGATCATTACAACTCTAAAACTGCTAACTTACCACAACTCAGCTGATGGGATGCTAGGGTTTAGGTAAATTATTCTTGAAAAGCCCTTGTAAAAGACACAGAATCACAGTCCAGGAGAGAGCTGATGGTGACTTTGACAAAGGTGGTGGTAATGGAGATGGTGAGAGGGGGTGTTACAAGGAATGGGATGAAAAAGGACCACAGTTTATAGCTTACATTATTGTCAATGTTCTATTTTAAGTTCTGGGAGGTGGGTTAGTAGGTATTTATTATATTATTTAAAACAATATATAAATAAATTTTGAAAAGAAAAGAAAAACATAGACTTTCTCTTTAACCTTCCCTAGCTTATTTTGTTTTTCTAAAAAGTAACTTCTGAAGTTTTATTTATTTTGAATTAATATAAATAAAACTAAGCATGTATTTCAACACCTCCATTCTTGTCCCTTTCTTCACCATGAAGCCACAACTGATCTAATCCTTCAAAACTCATGTCCTCCTACTGAGTGTCTGCTGTTGGGCTACTATTCAGTTTGGGGTGCTTTATTTTTAAAATGATATTCATAAACTTCAACATATTCAGCAAAGAACATCAAAATGATGTGAGGTTTGTAAATATGCCACGAGGAGTGTTTGAAGACCTGAGATGTATCGCTTGGAAAACAGAAGACCTGTCAGGCAGAGCAAAGGGTGTGTGCAGGGCAGGGACTGTTATTTGAAAACAGGAACAGACTTATTCCGTGTGACTAGAGCACAGAACTAGAACCAACAGGAAGTATTATCAGCAAACATTTCCACTTAGTATGAGGAAGACCTTCCTCACAGTTCTCACTGTCTAACAATGTCATGAGCTGCCTCCAAAAGCAGTGAGCTGCTCATCACTGCACAAAGCCTGGAAAACCATCCATCAGGGATGCTTTTAAGGCAATGGGCAAGGCTTGGGTGGATGGTCCACCTCTGAAACTGCTGAGGTTCTATGAGGCTATCACGATCAACCCAAATCCAGCTTGTGTTCTCCAATCTTCCTTAGCACGTCTGTGTAATTTTATATGACTGTCTTAGTCTCACAGGCTTAGATTTTTTCTAAACTATTTCCTCCCTTGCTTTAAGTTTGAGGATTAGAATGATCTTCTAAGGCTTTGGTATCTCCCTTACCAAATACACACCCATGCATACCCCAAGACCAAGGCTTTCTACCTTTACTTATTATTTGCTGTGGTTTTTCTCTTCCATCTCTAAATTCATTTTGCTGTTCCTGCATTTTGATTATGTGATTATTCCTTTATTTCATTTAGATTTCTACTCTCTTGCGGCCCAGTGCACTCTAGACTAAAGCCCAATTACTTTTTCTATCAAAACAGAGTAGAACTATAATGCAATTACTTTAATTTCTCCGACTTTCAGCAATAGCCCAGTTGGATGACCAATACTTACCATCAAACTGATAGTGCATGGTTTGATGGATGCGTTCTGTGACACTGGCCAGCCAGTCTTGGAAGGATAAGGTCACTTGTGCCTCATCTAACAGCTGACTACATCCTAGGGAAAAACAAAACAAAACTCTTCATTAACGTTTTTCTTACAGACTTTAACAGTTAGTTGAAGTTTGAAAAAGCTAAGGAGTTTATACATAAAAGAGGAACAAGCTGAAATTCAAAGAAAGTAGATACAATAAGTGAAATGGAATATTGCAGGATTCTTTTAAAGAATCCAACTAGAAAAAAAAAGGAATAGAAAGCTCTGAGAGACTAATGGGTTTAAGATTATTAACCACAAAAAATTTGCAGCCTTTCAACATCAAACTGCAAATTGAAGAATGGCCTTGTATAATGGCTGTTTTAGAGCCATTAATTGGCCCTATTCCTGATGAATATGTCTATATACCCAATGACCTACCATTCTATTCTATTTCTTCTCCTGAAATGTTTTCATATGACTGAAGTATATATCCCCTTTTATTATTATTATTTTTTAGATAAATTTATTTATTTTATTTTTGGCTGCGTTGGGTCTTTGTTGTGGTGCCTGGGCTTCTCATTGCGGGGGCCTCTCTTGTTGCGGAGCACAGGCGCTAGGCGCACAGGCTTTAGTAGTTGTGGCTCACAGGCTCTAGAGCGCAGCCTCAGTAGTTGTGGCACACAAGCTTAGTTGCTCCGTGGCATGTGGGATCTTCCCAGACCAGGGCTCGAACCCGTGTCCCCTGCATTGGCAGGCGGATTCTTAACTACTGTGCCACCAGGGAAGCCCTATCCCTTTTTATAAAGAGCTAATGATGCCAAAACTACTATTCATTTAAGTTACAATTCTCATAAATAAATGCATATAGTGCTAATTTGGATTAAAAGCTATTTTCTTTTTTCTTTGCACCAAACTGATAAAAATTTGTTTAAAATCTACCAGATTCTACCAGATACTTTTTTTTTTTTTTTTTTTGCGGTATGCGGGCCTCTCATGTTGTGGCCTCTCCCGCTGCGGAGCACAGGCTCCGGACGCGCGGACTCAGCGGCCATGGCTCACGGGCCCAGCTGCTCTGCGGCATGTTGGCTCCTCCCGAACTGGGGCACGAACCCGCGTCCCCTGCATCGGCAGGCGGACTCTCAACCACTGCGCCACCAGGGAAGCCCTACCAGATACTTTTGATTTGTTTACTTCCTGACCTTCCAAAAACATTTATTCTTGAACTGTGTAAGTTCTTAATTAATTAATTAAGATTTGGTCTTGTATTGTTTGCTATTTATGGATCGGTCTTGTCTTCAAAACCAGAGTATGAGGGCAGGGATAATGTCTAATTTTTAATCACCCAGCCATATTATATGAAAGTTGAGAAAATGTCGACCCCCAAACATACAAGCTTAACTATTCTGAGTAGAAAATTGACATATATAAATTTATAAGTTATATTCAAATTAAGTCATTCTGTCTCTTAAATGTTACTGCTTTTAGGTGTTTTCAAAGTTCACTAACTTTGGAGAACAGACTATATTTGTCTTTCTCAACAAATATTTATCCGTACAATTGTAAGATATGTTTCTTCTTCAATTTGGAACCCCTATACCAAATTGCATATGGGTAATCAGCAACAAAAGGAAAATATTTTACAAAATACGTGCTGCCAAAACATGTCAGTAATTTTTGTTGCATTTGTTATTTAAAGACAATTTGGGGCGGGGGGGGGCTTCCCTTGTGGCGCAGTGGTTAAGAATCCGCCTGCCAATGCGGGGGACACAGGTTCCAGCCCTGGTCCGGAAAGATCCCACATGCCGCGGAGCAGCTAAGCCCGTGCGCCACAACTCCTGAAGCCCGTGCGCCTAGAGCCTGTGCTCTGCAACAAGAGAAGCCACTGCAACGAGAAGCTCGCGCGCCAAAATGAAGAGTAGCCCCGTTCGTCGCAACTAGGGAAAGCCTGTGTGCAGCAAAGAAGACCTAATACAGCCAAAAAAAAAAAAAAATTGGGGGACTTCCCTGGTGGTCCAGTGGTAAAGAAATCACCTTACAATGGAGCGGACGCAGGTTTGGTCCCTGGTTGGGGAACTAAGATACCCCATGCCACGGGGCAACTAAGACCAGGTGCCACAACTACTGACTTCGCGAGCGTCAACTAGGGAGTCCGTGTGCCGCAAACTACAGAGCCCATGCATTCTGGAACATACATGCCACAACTACAGAGCCCACGCGCCCTGGAGCCTGTGCGCCACAGCTAGAGAGAAGCCTGCACACCACAACGAAGAGCCTGCGCGCTGCCACGACAGATCCGCACACCTCAATGAAGATCCCAGGTGCCGCAACTAAGACCCGATGCAGCCAAAAATAAATAAAATAAATAAGTAAATCTTAAAAAAAAAAAAAGACAATTTGGTTTTGAGACTGATTTGAGACCAGTGGGACTGACAGCACAGATCTTAGCCTCAGTGCCTGCTAGTATTTATCTAGGGGACAATATGCAGCATTTCTTTTGATTATATTGCTTTGGGCATCATTTTTTTTTTTTTTTTGCCACTCTGCTCAGCCTGTGGGATCTGACCAGGGATCCAACCCATGTCCCTTGCATTGGTAGCGCAGAGTCTTAACCACTGGACCACCAGGGAAGTCCCCTCTTTGGGCTTCTTCAGGATGATTTTCCAACTCTTTAGCCTATCCTGGGGAAGAGAAACTTACCCTGCCTTTTTAATGAAGAAGCAACCACAGGCTTTTTCAGGCCACTTTTCCTTAGATTACTGCTCACTGCATCTTGAGGCAGCAGTGAACTGTTCGTCTGTGCACCTAAACCACAAATCATTATAGTGTTTAATAAAATGTCTGCAGAATATAAATCGATTCAATATTAATTTCTGAAGTCTAAAACATATAAAAAGTCTTTGCTAATTTCTAAGTTAGCTTCAGTTTCTAGAAAGAATTAGCATTAGCCTTTATACATAACATTTTAAATGTCTCACACTCTTTACAGGAAGTTGGTGGGGGGACTAGAAGTGAAAGGAAGAAAAAACTTCACCCTTTGTTCCCACCTTTCAGACAATCACTATTAATTTTCTGGTGAACTACTGTCCATTTTCTTTTTTGTAAATAGTTTATTTTGCTGGTTTTGTGCTTTAAGTAGCTCTAAATATACTGGGATTGCCAGATTTAGCAAAAAAAAATTTTTTTGAACTTCAAACAAACAAATAATTTTTTAGTATAAATATGTTGCAAAGATTGCATGGGAAGTACTTATACCAAAAACTTATTCACTGTTTATCTGAAATTCAAATTGAACTGAGCATTATGTACTCTATCTGGCTACCCGAGTGAGCTAACATTTCTCCAAACTCTTCAGAGTCATTTTTCATGGCTGCCTGGTATTCTATCAAGTGGTTTATCACGGGTCATTTAACTATCCCCAGTGGCTGGCCCTTAGTTGTTTCTAATTTTTCAATATTATAAATAACTACACCATAGGCATCTCTGGACAAAATGCTTTTCCTGTACAAAGGATTATTTCCTTAAAAAAAGATTATTTAGAAGTGGGATTACTGAGTTAGAGGGTAAAAAAAATTTTTTTTTAATTTCAAATTTTCCTGGGAAAGACCCATAATCAAACATTTAACCACGATCTCTGCTCTTTATTGCTGCCAGAATTACCCCTCAAAAACATAGAAATAACCATGTCGCTTCGTTTCTCCATCTTTCTCCAGCTTCCCAGCACCTGAATGCCTGTGCCTGACCATCTGACCCACCTGCAGCAATACTCCCTCTATGGGTAGGAACTTTTTGTAAGGTTCTTAACAGATACTACAAATGATTAAAGCAACTTACACTACACTAGCCATGCTGAAGAACACTGATTTTACCTTTGCCTGTGGTCTCATCGCTTAAATATCTTTGCTGATTTGGTATCCCAAAGTATCTTGTTTTAACTCTGCATTTATAAAATGCTTGCATTTCTCTCTTCACTAGTATATTTGGAGTTTGGTCCTCAGGTGCAGACTGGTAATATTTTCCTTTTGTTTACATCCTAGGTCGTTTTTTTTAAATTATTTTTTAAAAGATTTATTTATTTGGTTGCGCTGGGTCTTAGTTGTGGCATGTGGGATCTTCGTTGCCATGTGTGGGATCTTTAGCTGTGGTATGCTAATTCTTAGTTGAAGCATGTGGGATCTAGTTCCCTGACCAGGGATCGAACTCAGGGCCCCTGCATTGAGAGCGTGGAGCCTTAGCCACTGGACCACCAGGGAAGTCCCTAGAGCCTAGGTCTTTTAACACTTACCGACTAGGACACGTCAGCATTTTCATACTGATTTATATGAGTCTTTAACTGACACTGATATATTTGAATTTAAAAAGAAAAAAGATACATATATGGTGAAGATGCAGATAACAAACTATATTGCTAAACTATCGTGGAAAATAGAATTAACCATTGTCACAAATTTAAAAAAATATATCTATTGATGAAAATTTCCTAACACTGTCCTAAGGCAGAGTAAGGTGTAACACTAGTCTGATTGATTAAGGGATGAGCAAACTAAAAGTGGAGTTTGGTCAGATCTTATACTTGGCCAGTAGAACCGACTCTTAGCTTCACTTGAGAAAGAATCATCAAGGGAGAGTAAAACTTTCTTCAGGAAACAACAACATTATTTCTTATACTTGCTGAGATTCAGTGAAACACATAAAACACAGTAAAACCACCTCTAAAGGTAACACCACCGAACAAACACACCAAACAGCTTCTCACCAGATACTTCCTCCTTCTTCCTCTTCTTTGGCTTAGAGGCAGTAGACTCACAAGCTGATACTGTTGGTTCTGAGTGGCAACCTAGCTGGGGCACAATAACCTCCTTTAGACCTAAAATATAAGAAAATATCTGAATTATTAATACTACCCAAGAATAAGTATGGGTCCCTATCTAGAGAAAATTAATTTCTAAAAATCCAAATCCCCGAAACAAATTATAGAGTGACTGTCTGCTTTAAAATCAGTTCCTTTAAAGAACTCTCCCAAACATATGTTTTTGTTCATAGACCATTAATACGATAAAAGGCTCTACAGAGAAATGTAAAACTAAAAAGTTGGGAGCCGCTGCCAACTAAAGATCGTTCAGAAATGAAAATGAAAAGCATCTACAAGATAAAAATGTTAAAAACATAAGATGATGTAGAAACACTTAAAGATCCTTTGAGCAAGGTACTCGTTTTCCCCATCTTCAAAGATAAGAAACAAGCAAGCAAGACAAAATAAAAGGGATTTTGTTTGTTTTTTCTTTGTTTTTACTAACATGGGGCATCTGTGGAGTAAAAAAATCAAAGCAAAGCTAACTTTGCTAGATTCATTGTTTCAATGAAAATGCACAAGTAGTCTCTTGATCATTAATTTCAACTAACCAACCAACCAAACTTTATGCAAGTATGCTCACTGGGATTAAAAGAAGGAATGCCTTTCATTTGATTTACCTAGCAACTGCTTCTGAAGGTTGCTAGGACAATGCCATCAGTGGGACACTGCCATCAGTGGGACACTTTCATTGCCATTTTAGAAAAACAGAGTAACTGTGTCAACGACACCACCTACCGCTGGAATCAAAATTTAGGAAGTCTGAGAATTCCTGAGCCAATGTCTCGTCACTGGCAAAGGCACAGATGCAAGCAAAGAAATGAATGCATCTCTGGACCGCCTCATCCTTGGAGGCATTCGACTTCTGTGATTTCAGAGTCTGGCAGGAGCAGAAGAAACGGCGCTCAGGCAAGCTTTTGGCACTGATTTTCTGCACAAACGATGTATGCAAATACCCCAAACTATGCTTCTGGCTTGCCTTGCATTTCACCACCAAAATGTTTTTAGTAATCCTCTGTACAAGGGGACCTGTGGGTTCCGTGGCCAACTGCCAGATGGTTTGCTTGGTTTCTGGGGAGGCCTGCACTGCATTCAGGACCGAGCTCTTTAGTGTCAGAGGGGTGGCCTCTGCCTGGCAGTTCACGGCCAGCTTGATGTGCTGGCACTGGTTTTCCACAACACCCTGGGTGGCAGCTTTCAAGCATGCGGGGACGTAACACCGTCCAGAGCTCAGCTGAGTGATGAGTGTCCCATCCACTGTCTGGATGGTCGTCTCTGAAACACCTAGCTCCACAAAGCATCGGTAATCAGGGCCCCGGTCTCTTTGCCGCACCGAGTAGACTTGCAGATCAGAGCCTGTTATGATTTTGACAGCTTCAACACTAGGCTGCTTCCGTGCGCCATACCGGAATATGGTTCCACATGTCTTGTTCTTACAGCTCAGTCCCCGGGTTCCATTGTATGTGCCACAGCGGGGACACTTCCTGATTCCCCTCAATGTGGCCTTCCCCAAGTCAGATAAGAAAGCTGGGACCTTTGTCCTTAGAGAGTTTGGTTCCATTTTTCACAGGTCCTAGAAAAGGCAATAAGCCCATCAGTATGAGTATACATGCACACACACACACGAAGTTAAAATCACTTATGATATTTAGTATACAAAGTAAAATGTAAGAAGCTATCCACTATTCTCAAATTGTACCCTCAAAGAGAACATCCACTTAAACCCTCAAGCAAAATAAAAATGGGAGGAGATATGGGGATATATGTATATGTATAGCTGATACACTCTGTTATAAAAGCAGAAACTAACACACCATTGTAAAGCAATTATACTCCAATAAAGTTGTTTAAAAAAAAAAAGTGGAGGAAACTTTGCCTTTCACGTTTCACATCGCTCTCTCTCTCTCTCTCTACATATATATATATATAATTTTTTTTGGGGGGGGGCCACATCTCATGGCATGCGGAACTTTCCTGACCAGGGATCGAACTTGCGCTGCCCCTGCAGTGGAGGCACGGAGTCTTAACCACTGGACCACCAGGGAAGCCCTCTCTCTCTATTTTTTAAGTCCTAATGTAATAACTGAAGCATTTTTCTAGATTCAATCCTGTTCTATACAACAACCTAGATTAGTTAACCTACATCTTTTTTTTTTTTTTTTTGGCCACGCCACGTGTCTTGCGGGGATCCTCAGCGGTGAAAGCGCAGAGTCCTAACCACTGGACCACCAGGGAATTCCCTAGTTAACCTAATCTTTACATGCACAGATGTTTGACTTGAGCAAAGACTGGAGAATGGGAAAGATGCGTTCTTTCCCTTCCACCATTCCCCACAAAACCCGGCCCAATCCTACCTCTATCAGTTGCCCGAGCATCCAGAAAAAGTGTGAGCTGAATTCATAAGACCTAAAAGGTGTTTCATTAGTTTGTGATGATCATATAGGACAGACGAAGACATAATCATGTGCATAGTAAATGACACTGCTTAACTCAAAGTCTTCTGAAGTTTGAGCTCTGTGTTGTAACAGTGCAGACATTCTGCCTTCTCCTTCTCAACCAGCCAATGGCAAAGCTCATGTCCAATGTTCCACACTCAAAGATTCTCACTGCCCTAAGTGGAGACCTTGGCAGTCTATAAGTAAAACAGGAAAAAAATATTAAAGTTATACAAAGACAGGATGATTCTTTCCTCCCAGAAAAGGAATCTAAGTCTTTCAAGAATACTTGAGAAATATTTGATAGAAATTGTTATAGTTGCTCTATACTTTGAATCGCAAGAAGGTAAAACAGTGTTAATGTCATTACACAGGGAGTTGTCAAGAACACCTAGAGCCATGGTATATAATTGGTTGAACACTCATCCTTCCTAATAGTAATGCACTGCATTTTTAGAGTACTTTATGCTTTTCAAAGTGATTTCACATTCATTATTTCATTTGAATCTCGCCATATTAGTATCTTATTTGAGCCAAACAATTGCTCTTCAGATGAAAATCAAAAAGTTAAGTAACTTGCCTGAGGCCACCCAGCAAAATCAGCAATGTGGTTTCTACTAACCCAGTGTCTGCTAAAAAGAGTGTGAATCTGTTTTTGATTTCCCCCAATATTACGAAAATTTTCAAACATATAAAAAAATTGAATTATACAGTCAACCTTCATATACCCACCCACTAGATTCTACAATTAACATTTTACTATATTTGCTTTATTACATACCTATCCAACCCTTTCTCCATCTATCAATCCCTTTCATATTTTAATGCCTTTCAAAGTAAGTTACAGGTATCAGATCGACATGCATATTATTAACTAAAGTTTAATAGTTTTAATGCTTTTTAGAAAGGTAAATCTGCTTGTGATTTTGAAGTAGGGAAAAGCTTTGCTTTTCCTCCCTGACCCCAAAGAATGGTCTTTTTTTTTTTTTTTTTTTCCGCTGCGTTGGGTCTTCGTTGCTGCACGCGAGCTTTCTCTAGTTGCGGAGAGTGGGGGCTACTCATCGTTGTGATGCGCGGGCTTCGCATGGCGGTGGCTTCTCTCGTTGCGGAGCATGGGCTCTAGGCGTGTGGGCTTCAGTAGTTGCAGCACGCGGGCTCAGCAGCGGTGGTGCACGGGCTTAGTTGCTCCGCGGCATATGGGATCTTCCCGGACCCGGGCTCGAACTTGCATTGGCAGGCGGATTCCATTCATTCATTCATTCATTTATTTATTCATTTATCTATGGCTGTGTTGGGTCTTCGTTGCTGCGCACGGGCTTTCTCTGGTTGCGGTGAGCGGGCGCTACTCTCCGTTACGGCGTGCAGGTTTCTCATTGTGGTGGCTTCTCTTGCTGGGGACATGGGTTCGTGCCCCGGTCCGTGAGGATCCCACGTGCCGCGGAGCGGCTGGGCCCGTGAGCCATGGCCGCTGAGCCTGCGCGTCCGGAGCCTGTGCTCCGCAACAGGAGAGGCCACAACACTGAGGCCGCGTACCGCAAAAAAACCCACAACAAAACCCTTGTCCCCTGCATTGGCAGGCAGATTCTTAACCACTGCGCCACCAGGGAAGTCCCAAGAATGGTCTTGATAAAAGACTCTCCCTTCACGTCTTCTATAGTCCACTGATTAACAAACTGGAAAGTACAAATAAAAAAAGCCTAAGAAGGCCCACCTTCTCATTGGCTATGAACTAATCCCCCAACTGTAATATCTGCTGAGTGAATAAAGCTTTGTGAAATATGATTTACAGCAGGGTTCTGCACCGTGGCACTACAGACATGTAGGGCTGGGTAACTCTTTGTTGCAGGGGGCTATCCTATGCATCACAGGATGGTTAGTAGCATCCCGGGTCTCCACCACCAGATGCCAGTAGCAGTCAACACACTTTCCCCAAGTTGTAAAAAAACAAAAATGTCTCCAAATACTGCTAAATGTCCTCCTGGGGGCAAAACCACCTGTTAAAAACCACTGACCTAGAGACATTAGCCTGTTTACACAGCATTTCCTTCTTAGGTCAATAAACTTCTTTGATAGGTACTGTCACTCAGCCAAACATGAGTTCTTAGAAGAAAATGCTGTTCCAAAGTCAATTATCTCTGTGACCAAGTCTTTTAACTTCTGAGCTTCAGATTGTTTTATATATAAATCAATTTTTTAAAACCCTTTTTATTTTTAATATTTATTTTATTTTGGCCGAGTCGGGTCTTTGTCGTGGCACATGGGATCTTCGTTGTGGCATGTGGGATCTTTCGTTGCGGCGCACGGGCTTCTCTCTCGTTATGGCGTTTTCTCTTTTCAAGTTGTGGCGCGGGCTCCAGAGTGCACGGGCTCTGTAGTTTGCGGCACAGCAGGCTCTCTAGTTGAGGCACACGAGTTCAGTAGTTGTGGCGCGTGGGCTTAGTTGCCCTGTGGCATGTGGGATCTTAGTTCACCGACCAGGGATTGAAGCCACGTCCCCTGCATTGTAAGGCAGATTCTTTACCACTGGACCACGAGGGAAGTCCATATAATTCAATTTTAAAATTACACTGATGATGATGATGTCATATTATCATTAAAGTGTAAAAACAGAACAACTTTGCTCATTAAGGGAGGAATTATTTGCCAGTTATAGTTTATTTTGTAAATAAATCATGTAGAGCCGCTGTGTTGTGCTGTGGGGAAGGGAGACGGATTTGTAGACCCCAGAGCGAGGTTCTGCCTACCCGAGGCCGCTGCTGTGCGGCGACCCCAGGGGAAACCACAGTCACCATGTCTGACCAGGAGGCAAAACCTTCAACTGAGGACTTGGGGGATAAGAAGGAAGGAGAATATATTAAACTCAAAGTCATCAGACAGGATAGCAGTGAGATTCACTTCAAAGTGAAAATGACAACACATCTCAAGAAACTCAAAGAATCATACTGTCAAAGACAGGGAGTTCCCATGAATTCACTCAGGTTTCTCTTTGAATTGCTGATAATAACACTCCAAAAGAACTGGGAATGGAGGAAGAAGATGTGATTGAAGTTGATCAGGAACAAGCAGGGGGTCGTTCAACGATTTAGATATTTTTATTTTTTTCTTTTCCCTTAATCCTTTTTATTTTTAAAAATAGTTCGTTTGTAATGTGGTGTTCAAAACAGAATTGAAAACTGGCACCCCATCTCTTTAGAACATCTGATAATTTGAATTCTAGTGCCCATTATTCGTTATTGTTTGTTTTCATTGTGCTGATTTTTGGTGATCAAACCTCAGCCCAGTTCATAACGCCCTCTCCTTTTTAAAAATTACATGTGTGCACAGAGAGCCCGCCTTTTCCAGGACTGTGCATTTACAGGCTTGTGATAAATAAGACTGACTAATGCGAGTGCTCATAATGACTTTCCAATTGGCCCTGAAGTTCTAGCATGTGATCGCTTCACTCCTGGACTGTGACTTTCCGTGGGAGATGGAAGTTTTTCAGAGAACTGAACTGTGGAAAAATGACCTTTCCTTAACTTGAAGCTACTTTTAAAATCTGAGGGTCTGGACCAAAAGAAGAGGAATAGCAGGTTGGAGTCAAGGTGGTGAAAATAATGACTAACTCCAAAGATGGCTTCACTGAAGAGAAAGCATTTTAAGATGAAAGAAAAATCTTGTCAGAAGATCCCAGAAAAGTTCTAATTTTCATTAGGAGTTAAAGTTATTCATGCAGAAGTGTATACAGCAGAGTGCTGCTCTTTTTGACTTTATTTATACTTTTTGGCCTGGGATATGGGTTTTAAATGGACATTGTACCAGCTTCATTAAAATAAATAAAGTATTTGTAAAAAAAACAACAAAAAAAATCATGTAAATCTATGATCTTTTCAAAAATGCCAATTGAAAAAAATGTTAAAAGACAAGTCATCTTACAAAATAACGGTGCAAAAGCAAACTAAAAAGCTAAAGACCCTTTTATGCCCCACTATTATCACTACCACTATCCCTACATGCCCCCCAAAATCCTCACTTTTCAAGAGTAAATACAGTTATTTGGCAGTAATACAGGCTGCCATATATCCATCAGATTATTTTCTTTATAAATAAATAAATACATATATGTATGGATGTGGGTTTTTGTTTTTATAAAAATTGAATTATATTATACTCATTGTTCTGAAGTTTGCCTTCTTAACATTTTTCCATAGATTTCTTCCCATGTCAGCACAAATGGCTTTAACACCATCTTTAGCTGCTGAACAGTAATCTGTAGTGTGAATAGACCATAGTTGAACCAGCTCTACCAGTGGGTTTTTAGTTCTAGACAATGCTGCAATGAACATCCTAAACGTTGACCTCAGTACACAGATGCAAATATTTCAGTAGAAAAGATTCTGAACATTGTTTTTAGTTTTCTTAATTTATTGGGTACAGAATAAGATTTTATTGGGAGAAAAAAGTTCTACTTCTAAAAATATTATCATCATTAAATATATCTTCTTCATCCTATCTCACTTTCTATACTCAAATACATTCCAGGCAGATAAAACATTCAACTACAAAAGATGGAACTGCTAAAGCAGTAGAACAAAAAAAAGGAGAGGATTTTTTTCTTAAAATATTTTTTAAGGATATCAGATTGAGGATGGCCTAAATGACACAAAACCCAGAATCCAGAAAATATTAAATCCAGAAATGATTAATTTTTTCCTATTTATTTCAGTGGTTTTATTTTAAACTTCTTTTTTGAGGTATATTTTACATACAATAAAATTCACCCATTTTAAGTGTATAATTCAATAATATTTATAAAATTTATAGAGTTAGGTATCCATCCCTACAATTAAGTTTTAGAACACTTCCATCACCCCAGAAAGATCCCTCTTGCCTTCTGGAGTCAATCACCATGCCCACCCTTAGGCAATCACTAATCTACTTTCTGTTGCTATAGATTTACCTTTTCTGGACACTTCATATAGATGGAATCATACGATATGTGGCCTTTTACGTCTGCCTTCTTTCATTCAACATGATGTTTTCAAGGTGCGACCACATTGTAGCATATATCAGTACTGCATTCCTTTATATTGCTGAACAGTATTCCACTGTATGGTTATATCATTTTGTTTATCCATTTACCACCTTATAGATACTTGGATTGTTTCCACTTCAGGGCTATCACGAACACTGTTGAGAACATTAACATGCAAGTCTT